CGGTCTTTGGGAGAGCTCGAGCTAAGGAAGCGGTTTGACTGTATAATGTAGTAGATGCATCTGCAACAGCTAATTAGCTTGCAGCTTTACATATCCAATGCTCCACCATCATGTTGTAGAGCAGGCATTTGATCTGGAAGACACTGGGTTGTTTTGTCAGATGCAGTCAGTGGCCCAGTGGCCACAAAATTGAGGCTCATAACACGTTACACAGCACAGCGGTCCCCCATCACCAATGCTCCTTGGCTGCAACTTTGATGGGGACGGGGGGTTGCAATTCTGTTGAACAAGCAGAAACAAACAGTGAAGAAGCCTGTTCAGGACGCAGTCTACTTCACAAAGGTTTCAACTGTTCTATTGATGGTTCCCCTTGAATGCTGGAAGCCCTTTTCTTGATATTTCATGATGGAGTCCTTCGCCAAGGAGCGGGCCATCATGAAGTTTATTTGCAAGGATGTCTGGACCTACCTGTTCCAACAGCCAGCCACCAGGCTTCAAGCTGACAAGCACGGCGGCTTCTCAGATGGCATTATGACATTGTGTATGATTGCATGGGCCTGTGGCAATCATTGTGTGCGTGGAATCTCGAACTGATTCTTTTTGTGTATATAATGGTGATGTTTTCGTTGTGGCTCATGCCGACCTACTGCCTGGCAAAATGTAACACAGCCATTTTGTAGATCTTAATAGTGACATACAGTCACTAATGCCCATATAGTTGGAACATGTACCATACTATTCTGTGTAAAGCAGCTTTATTGTGCAAGAACCTGAAAGTGAGGCTACATCATCCAGGATCAGGCTTTTCGTTGGCTGGAGAGCTTCCCAGCGGCGGATGCCAGTGGTGAGGCCCAGAGTCGTGACGCCTCTCCGTTGTCGGTCGGGTTTTGTGAACTTGATCGAACAGGATGGCCATGGATGGTTCCCATTCTGTTTGGGTTTGCTGATGCATGTTTTCCCGTTCTGCATGAAATGAGTGAGCATGGCTTGCTACCGCCAGCAGCTGGCCATCCTTCACCTTGCGCTCCCATGTGGTTTGCTTCAAGGACTCGATATGTTTGCTTTGTCGATTGCGGATTCGACTTTTGGTCGAACTTAGAGCCAACTGGCTCCTAACAGTCTAAAGAGGCAAAGAGCATCAAAGGATTTGATTTGCACTTTTTCAATCGCAATCGAACGACTCGACAGCGGTGGTCCCCTGTAGGGGCACTTTACGGGCTTGGCCTGGACAGAGCCATCAGAGTCGAGGTCGCATTGCCGCAGGTGACCTTCATTGTGGCACCTTGGTGCCGACAAATGCTTTCTGACAGGCTCAGGCCACTCTCTTAGTCCACGAGTGCTCACAGTCTCACGCTCTCTTCCTTTCTCTCTCTCTCTCTTATATAGTTGCAGGCCATCGCTTCTAGGTTGGAGGCCATTGCTTTTTGAGTCTCTCTCTCTCTCTCTATCTCTGTCTCTTCTCTTTCTCTCTCCTGCTGTCATGAAAGTGACTGTGCATGCGTGTGCATGTGCTTAGTGACGCTCTTCTTTCTTAATGTGGTGTTGTTTGAAACCGTTTGACCGATTTGACAGTGCTTTTGATGTATGCTGGATGATTGGGGTTCTTCTTCAGTTTGTTGACTCCAACTGTTGGCGATTCGTCAGGTTTCCTAGCATGCAGTAAGCACTTGAGGAATGATGGCGATTGATCGCGGCAGTGTATAGAACATTCCAAGCTGCCAAGGTCGTGTTGTTGATGAACTTTTGATTGTCTTGTTGATCATGATCTCTCATGCATGGTCCATCATAGACTTGCATGATCCGAAGTTGCTCTTGTAAGGCCTGCTCACAAAAACACAGTTGTGCGTAAGTACAACTGTGAGTTGCATGAGGTTGCATAAGGTTGATGGTGACATTATGTGACGTTGCAGTGTGGGTAAGCAGTGAGTACCTATCAAAAAAATACCTACTGTATTTAAAAACGCTCCTATTAAACATATCATATTGGAGCCCCCTCAATACGGTTTATATTTGTTCTAACATAGCCGCCCTTAAAAGCCGCTGCTAAATTACCAACATTGCCGATTTTTTGTTAGTTTTTGGAAATTCTATTTGGTTCCACCCTGTCTGTCCACCATGACACGCCGCGTTTACATCAGCAGGTTTTCATTCCCCCAATGGCACGGACTCACGCAAACGCACTCGCCACCGAGGCCGCGAAAAAACCGCATGGCACAGCTACATCACCTTTCGAAAGCTTTAGTTGTTATATAGTCTAATGAAGAATCACTGTTTAATAAAGGGCTTTCGTAAAGGGAGAAGGAAAACTCTTCGATTTGGAGTCTGGAGGCTTTATGCAATTTTTGATAATTACGGGTTATGTATAGGATTTTATGTAAGCAACTCCTCGGTGACTTTTCTTTTTTGATGCTCGTCCCAGGCTTCTGCCCGAAACTTGCACTTCAAGCTTCACAAAGCTCTGCGCTTGCCTGGGGATTATGCAATCAAATCAATGATTAACGATCCTCAAACTCACCCTATTTCAGGGACCCCCTATTTAAGCATGCACCCGAGTTTGTGTTGAAAGGGGTGGCTGCATTTTTTAGATAGGTGGAAGGAATTAAGTCTGTATACCGTAGTATGTTGTAAGTTGTTGGTGTTTGTTCTACTGTAAATGTTCCTTCTTGTTGCTGCTCTCCTTTTTACTGTCACGAAGCAGCGACCTATGGTCAATCCAAGTGTGCATTTTTTACAGCACGTGTTTGTCCGTGCCTGGAGAGGCTTGCAACACTGTGTTGTCACTGATGTTGTTTTTATTTTCCCTCATATAGCACGTATGATCTCTGCTTGCGCAAGCTGCGCCGTGTAAGCCGCGCACAAGCTGTGCGTAAACAAGAGCTTCACTCACGTGTCCTAGACCAGAATGCTCAAACAGAGTTCGTTTTGGTGATCAGCATTCAACAACTAATTGAATGACTGCAAATATTTATTCAACTTGTCCATGGCATACGCATCAAGATGGCACGCCAATCCTCAATCCTTTGAAATTTTATGTGACCTTCCTCCTGATTCTGCTGAGATTCTTGTAGAAACGCATATGCAAGCTCAATAATTATATAAAACGTTTGGCGTAAGTGCAGTGTAAGCTGCTATAAAGCACCCCCTGGCGCGTAAGCAACCCTGTGGTCGCGTAAGCGCAGCGTAAGCAGACCCTTGCGACCAGGAATCTAATGAGGCCAATTTGGCCCATGCTCAGATGGGGCGCGTACGCGCGCGCGCGCGCATGCAGGACCCCACCACAACGCTCCACGTTTGAATCCAAAAGGACGAGGGCCAAGTCCCGGGCAAAAATCTTGACGGTCCAATTACACTTTATCAAATTTGTGGCAATGTGACGACAGACCGACAACGGGCATGCGTCCATTCTTTAGTAGCAGTAGCAGCAGCAGCAGCAGGAGTAGTAGTGGTGGTGGTGGTGGTAGTCGTAGTCGTAGTCGTAGTCGTAGTCGTAGTCGTAGTCGTCGTAGTAGTAGTAGTAGTTGTTGTTGTTAGATTGCTAGATGTTGCAATGCTCCCATGCAGCTTGGTTGTCGTTCACTCAGGCTATACCTGAGCTCAGTCAGGAAGGTGCTTCACCTGATGCCTTGACGCCTTTATGAGCGCCTACAAACAAAAGACAAACACAGCTGGTGGCAAAAGCCCCAAGCATGCGGCCCAAAAAAGAGATTGGCCGCATCATCGTCCATGTCGGTCCGCTTCCTGTGAATGCTGAACTGTTTTAGGTTGTTAGTGAGGAGACCGACCCCTTTGTTGGTTTCCTTGATCTAGACGTCTCCCATTTCTGACATTGCCTTTGCTTGGGCTGCAGGGTTTGAATTGGCCGCCTTTCCTTTATATGAGTGTCGTGGCCGACGCATCGGTTGCAGCTGAAGCTTAGGCAAAAACAAGAAGTGACGCGGCGTGCATCTCACGATTTGTCCGTTCCGGCCTCAAAGAATCCTTTTTCCAACGATGTTCAAACGAGCGCTGGTTCTCCACCGAATTGCAAGTCGCTGGGTGGCTCCACAGCGACTGCATGAGGAGACCAGGTCGCTGGCTCCAAATGATCCAACAATGCTTGCCCATGCTTGCCCTTTGTTCCTAGTAGCGTCCTTGCTCCTAGTAGTAATGGCCAGGAGCTCCTAGACCTCCTAGTATCCGGTCCTAGTAGGTATGCCCTTTGCTCCTAGTACTGGTAGCGTCCTTGTTTGAGAGCCAATGATCTTGACCCGAGAAACTGACACTTGTGCTAAGTGTGAGGGCACGAGCAGTGTGCTTTGTCTAAGGATTTCAACCCGGTGACTGCGGCAGACATGATACCGGTTGGGTGCTCAGTGATTTTCTCAGTTGCATGATAGGCGTTCAGCTGCGGGCAAATTTGCTGCTTTTATTACTGTGGCATTCTTTTTGCCCCTTCCTTCCCTCGAGCGGTCTTGTCTTGACAATCTCTTGCTGCTTGCTTGCGCGGGAAAAATGCAGGTGCTGGATGCAGCACTAACGGCAGGAGTTCCACGGGAAATGTTGGACAAGGGCTGGGAGAAGAAGGCACCGGAGAAGGGCTGCACAATGACACAAGCTGCTGCTAGTTGCTGGTTTGAAGAACAATAGGGTGGCAAAAGCTTTGCACAGCTAGAGCAACCTTTTGAGGTGAACACTTTGCTGCTTTGCTATTTGGAATGGGTTGATGGGTTGCCATGGGTGTCATGAGGAAACGTCAAAAGATTGGCTGAGACCACAGCGTGGAGTTGCTTACAGCTTCAAATCCCAAGCGTAGCGCCTACCAAGCAAGGATAGGCGGCGAGAGCAGCATGCATATATACACCAAGATACGTGCCCAAACAGCACTGTTTTAAACATCTCTCTACTCACTCTTGTACTATATATAGCAGCGCGCTTTAACTCAAATGATGTTGAGGGTCTGCTCGGTTGCACTTGTTAACTGTTTGGTGATGTCATGACCTCACAGCCCACACTGCACAGCCCACGGCCCTGCCTTTTCACAGCAATGTTGTCGCGACTGAAGCCATGCTCCGTGCACGCCTGCTGGGTACGTCTCGGTGTGCTTGGCCACGCTCCTGTTGCACCTGCAGCAAGCCGCTCGCTGAGCTGCCGCATGCCGGCATCCAAGTTTAGCTGCTTGGCGGTTTGTGAGGGGGACATCTTGGATCACACTTGATCAAGCACTCGACTCTTTCCGTTCGGGCTGCATTCAATGTGCCGCCCTGTGCCTCCTATGCACCAGAATTCAATGGCCTGTTGCTAGAGCTGGAGGTGCTGTTCGAATTGGTTTGTGGGACATGTTTTCGCTGGTTTTCATGTCAGCTGGCAGTCCTCCAAGACAGATTTAGCTCGAGCTGCCTTTTTTGTCATTGGTCACCTCAAGATTGTCGCACACTGCCGTCCCAAGTCGCAGCTGCATCACAGCTGTGTCGCTCCCGTCACTCACGGGAATGTTTGGGTCAAAGGGCCGACCGAGGTCAGAGAGCATTTTCATCGAAGGCATGGGCTTCACAATTGGGAGCTGACCCAGATGCCATCTCGGTGGACCGTCGTTTCCTGGCAGGGGAAAGCAGCCAAATGGTTGTGCTACATGCCCCTTGGCAAGCGGGGCAGACAGACGGACGTTTTTGAGGGACCAGATGGTAGAGGGGTGTGTTTGACTAATGGGCACACCATCATGGCACACCATTGCGTTTGCTCACCCGAGAGGTAGAGCTGCGTAGAACACTTGGACACTACATGACACTACATAACGCTAGCCGCTAGATCCTCCGTTCGATTCCGTTCGATACAGTTCCGACGCAGCTGTGAGATCCAAGGACTACCGAGACATGAAGTTCTTGCAAAGGCTTTCTGCTGCCGCCCTCTTCGGCACCTTGATGTCCTCCTCAGGTTTGGCTTATGCTTTGTCTCTGGGGTGGCCCGCAGAACATTGTTTGGCATTTGTCTTCCAGATGGTGGTCGTGCCCCTCTTTGCCAACGCCTATTTGCGAACGTTGCCGGGCAGCCAGCATCGGGCTCGAAGGGTTTCTATGGTTTTCTCATGCCGACCCTATCATTTTATGATCTTATGGTCCAAGAAGCTGCAGGCAAAAGACAATGTCGTCACTTTTTTTGAGTGATTGCTACCCTGCCTTGGGGGAAGGCTCTGCGGAAAGTCGTAAGCGAACTGCGAACTCTGTTGGTTGGAAAGGGGCCTACTTTTAGGTTGTATGCTGGGGCTCTCATCGAAAGGTGGTTTAACGCTGCACTGGCAACTCATAAGGGGTTATTATAATGCCTGCTGAAGCAATGAGTTTCTTATTCTGTAGTGGGTCCTGCAAGCAGCCACAAGGAATTTTCAACATACATGCGAGACAAGTACAGGACGCAACACAGGCATTTCCAGGCTTGCCAGTGCAGTTTGCAATGGAACACCAGTGGACTTGGACAGATTACGCCAAGATGGCGAGAGCTACTGGGAGAGCTAGTGGGGTTCTTATTTCCAGTATAGGAAGAGGCGGCAGAGGTGCCTCGTTACGCGCTTTGCTGGTGCCGCTTTTCTGCCACTGTCTAGGCTTGGCATAGTTCATTGTCGGGGGTGTGCATTTTTGGACCTCGCCTGGATTTCGCCCGGACCTCGCCCAGAGCCATCTTCCTCCTGCTGCTGCTGTTCGCGTGCTGCTGCTTGTGTGCTGCTGCCACTGCTTGGCTGCTTCCACGCTGTGATTGGATTTTTGGTGCAAAGCCCGAACTTTCCATTTCAATCGATAGTAAAACCTGTAACGCCTTGTAACTAGGAACCTGATGTGACCCTGACGTGATCCGATCGCATCGGGCCACTACTTGCGGATTAGCTGTTTTCGAGATTTCGAGCTGGTCGCAGCCTTACTGCTAGGAACAAGCTCCTGGCATCGTTACTAGGAGCAAGGAGGCTACTAGGGGCTCCTGGCCATACTACTCACGAAACTTGCACAGCGGTCCACGCATCCCAAAGTCCTTCACCGTTGTGGTGGGTACCTGGGATTTGGGTGAAATGTCCGGTTGAACGTCTATCTAAAAAGCTGTCTGTACAAAGACCCTGACGGCCTGTTATCTAATATAAGTGAAACCGAATGTCCGCGCTGCACTTAGGAGGTCATCTGGGGTTAATTACGAATTGCGGGCCAGTGGGATTGGCACAGCATCCAAATCCTGATGTTTCTGCCGTGCCTGTCGAAGATATGGTCGGTAGAGAAAGCGTTGTTCAAAGGTCAAATTGTCAGGATCGGAGGCAAGGAAATGTGAATGTGCAAAATTTGCAAAATGCATAGGGACTAGCCCATCGGGATGATATAGGCTTACTATGCAGATCTTCGGCATAACGCATCAAGGTCTTTTGGACTGCCTTCGAATTGGGAAGTTCAGGACGCAAAGCAAAGCCACCGGTGTAAGCTCGTCCCCACCCTGTTTGTGCAAGGCTGGTTGAACCAGTTTTGGCGTAATGCGGAACAATGGGGCCATTCGAGTATCCCTGAAGGTACAGAACGATAGTGCGGAAGGCTTCGGATTGTTCTCGCAGAGAACGTTTAGGGATAGGGAGCGCTAACACCCGTGAGTCTTGCCAAGGGAACGGCTGAGCGCGCTTGTTGGTCTCGGGGCGAATCCAAATGGGGAGCTGAAGACCTGTATTTACGATAAACGCCACTGCCAATTCATGCCATGTGATGCCAGCTGTTGTAATCGGATTGGAGTGAGGTACGGCGGGATCAGGCCATTTCAAGGCCGCACAGAACCGCAAAACAAGGTCTGCGTACTGATTTCCCCAAACGCAGGCTTTAACAAAAGCTGGGTGTACGGTGGGATTGTACGCAATTGGTGGGTGCGGAACCTGGTGCACTTCGCGGAGGCGAAAGATGGTGCCCCACTCTTGAATCGAGTCATGTGAAGATGCCTGCAGTGAGGCATTATGCTTCTGTTTGATTTTTGCATGCTCCAAATTAAGATCGGCCAGATAGGCCAAAATTGTTTTAGTTGACGAAACTGGTCATGATGCCATGTCTTAGCTTGGGCTGATGGTGTTACACACGGGATGGTCGGTTTGACGCGCACGAACCGCTGCTTGATCAGCCCAGTCATTGCCTAAGGCATCGTGGAGTGAGCTACCAGAAGGTAACGTATGGAGGTCTTGGTGGGATTTAACCTTACGCACAGTGAATTGATTCGGATGCCATCGGCTGGCCAGCACCTGGAGAAGATCTGCATTGGCCAATCGGTGCCAGCTAGGGCGGCAATTGGGCTGAGTAAGTTGAAAGATGCTGTTGATGACATATTGGGAATCCGTCGTAATTGTGACGTGCTGGGACCATTGTTGGTCGGTTACGTATTGGACAATCCATGTGACAGCAGCGAGTTCTGCTCTGGCGATCGATTGGTGACCGGCCACATGTTGGATTTTGATGACGATGTAGGGAGTGGTGGTATCGTCTGGTTGAAATTGTACGACAGACCAGGCGGCTCTGCGTGTCTCATGGTGCAATGGGGTGTCTGCCGAGCCGTCCGTGTAAAAATGCAAGGTGTTATGATTGTGGCAAATGGGTGTATGACCAGTGTCGCAACCACGGTGACAAAGAAGCTGGCGAAGGTTTTCAATGTCAGGGAACGAGTGCGGCAAAGGCAACCATACTTTAGCGGCATTGCGTTCAAGATAGGAGACGGCTTGAGGGTGGCGATCGCGGGTGGCCTGAAAGGCGGGGCAATGAAGTTGCTGATGATGATGGGTGTCCGGTTGATTACAAAAAGTGCATAATTCGCTAGCCGCATGGGACCGCAAAGCTTTAACGGCACCGACTTGATACCCGCCTGTGAGATTATATGCGATCTGCTTAAGGCATGTAACGGACATGGATTGAAGCGCCCGAGACAGGATGGAAAAGTCAAACGGATGGGGTTCCACTCCTTTGCGATGGCAAATCTGACGTGCAATATGGTAGGCCCAGGCTTGGCGTAGGACGCGTCGGATGTGCCGGAGTGAGTCGGAACGAAGGGACACCGACAAATACCCATCCAAAGTCAGATGACCGTCCGTGGAAAGAACCCAGCCGATGAGGTTTAAATACCGCGCGAGGGCCCCGGCAGGGCCAATTGCGGGGCCTGTGTGAGTAGAAACTGCGGTCACAAATGTTTGAGCAAGGATGTGGTTGGTGTGATAGAGGCGGCGAATGAAGGTCACGCCTGTGAATATCACATATAGGAGTGGATCTTGAAGTTGTGGGCTAAAAACATGCAAAGCCAACCAACTGGAGATATGGTGCTCTGGACCCACCAGGGCTGCGGCAGCTTCTCGTCGCAACGAGCGGAAATGCTTACCCCCCACTACTTGAGTTTCGGCTCCATAGAATGCGTGTGGCCAAATGGCAGTTTGAATAAGACGTGCCTTCTGCAAAAGGTCTGTTTTGAGCCATCGAATTCTCTTGCACCGTTGGATAGCGCTGCTGATTTTTTAGTTTTAAGATGACCCAAGGTGATGTGGTGTGTATAGTGGGACATACATCCTAGATCCTTCGTAGAGTTGAGAACGGGCACTGGATTATCATGAGGGAATTCATCCTGCAAGAAATTCCGCCAGTCTTTGCGGGCGTCAAGTGTGGCTCCCCAGGCCCATGACTTTGTATAGTCAATTCGCACGCGAAGGTATTCAACCAATTGTTGAACACGACGAAAAGCGATAAGACTATCACGTTGGTTCGTGGTTAAATAGGACCAATTATCTGTGTATGCATAGGGGTCGACAGTGGGCGACTGCAAAGTCCAGTAAAATGCGGATGAGACAACGAGCATAGCACAAACTGACAAACTGTCACCTTCAGGGACACCTGTTGTCATGGTCATGGATGGTCCGACGTGGCCACGAACCTGGAGACGCCTTGTCAGCCTGGTAAGGCTGCGAAACCAAAATTGAACTGATGCGGGGGGGGGGCTCCATGATGGACCAACAAGTGATAGAGGACTCGACGTGGCAGTAAATTGAATGCCTTAACAAGGTCCAAGGTAAAGCCCCGCCATGGCTGGTGACCAGTTTTGGCTGACTCAATCTGAAATTGCTGGAGGAACGTTATGTTATGTCTTGGACTCCTCGAAATGGCAAGCCACCTGAGATCGCACTTGGCCATGTTGTGGCCCATTGGGCAAGTAACTGATCTGCGATAATTTTAGAGGTCAGGCGGCTGAGATATCCCAGAATGGTTATGGGCCGACCGTCAGTAATAGAAGTGGCTGGGTTGCGTTTGGCTAAAAGAACCACACGTGCAATAAGTTGGTGGGTGGAGAGCCCGACAGGCCAGATAAGCTTGAAGATTGTGGCTAGGTCTGACAGTGCCGCCAGTGGGAGGGTCTGTAACTCTTCGGCTCGCCAACCATCAATCCCCACAGCTTTATAATGGTTTCAAGCGTGCGATGGTCTGTGCGATAATGTTGGGGTCCTCCCAGGTGACGGTAAGACAGGCTGTGGGAGGGATACGATTTCGAAGAGTGTCGATGACTTCCTGCCAGGGTTGATCTGTGTGTTCTTCCTCGTCGCTGTCACGATTCCAGAACTGTTGCCAATAGTCGCGGAATGGTGGGGCCATTTCATGGACATCAGTGACATAAATTTCCTGGGTGAGGTCTCCCTGCGCTGGCGCCCGACCATCAAGATATGCGCAAGTCAAATGATTGTCTTGTTGGTCAATGATACGCACGAGAGCGTCACCGAATCGTGCAGCAGCAAAAAGCCGGAAGGATACTGGTTGATGAATTAGTATCTGCATGGGCCCTTTGGTGGCTCTGCACAGGGTGGCTTGCGCGGTGGTTTTAGTAGGGAAACCAGGCAGGATTTTGTTTTCATGTCCCTTGATCTGTTTATACAAGTGGGAGCCGGATTTGAATTTCGTATCTAGAGCCATCTCATGCTTGCGTGATAGTTGTCGAAGTTTAGCTTCATATTGACAAAAAGCATCGGCGTCGAACTGTGTAAGTTGTCGTGCATCGTAAAGTAGA